CAAGCATACGAATCACATCCAGATGCATATCATAAAAGTAGAATATTAGATGAAGAGATTGCTAAATCAAAAAGCTTGAAAATTTATACAAGTAATGATAGTTCGTTAAGTAGTCTTGATTTTAACTCTTTTCTCTAGAGTTTTAACAAAGGTGAATAAAAATTTCATTATTAATTAATTGGGAATTACTATCCACTAATAAATTAATAAACATTAAATTCTAATAACAATAGTAAAAGAAAAGAACCAATGAATGACTAATTTAATCTCCACTATAAATTTATTCATTATCTTTTTATTTATCTTTTTATTTTATTCTTATTTTCTTAAAATTATAATAATGCTTTGAAATAATAAACTTTTTGATTTTTGTCAAGTAGCAGTATCATTTCAGTTGATTAACAATTATGGCTTAACTTTTGCTACTCTTGTCAGTTCATTCCAAGCAACTCGCAATAATTCGGTGCTTGTCAATTAATTAATTTACGAATTTACTTTGGTTTCTTCTCTCTTGCATCTGGACGAATCTGTGAGCGCACATTCATTGGTACCAGATAACTATAAATAAATAAAAGTGACATTTACAAAGCTCAAGGGCTCTTTTTATTCATTTGTGATTGATTTATTTGTTTATATTCATTTACCGATTGCAAATTCGCTTTAGTTTACTTGCAAAATAACTTAAGTAGCTTGTCTAACAGCCTTACGTTTACGATTACAATAATACTTCCGATTAACCTTTGGATAATACTTTATTAATACCCACTAGTTAACCTTAACCTTTGCTTGCTCATTAAAGCAATCAAATTACTAATCGTCACTAGTTAACCAACGTTAGTCCTAACATTGCTTGCTTGCTCACTGAATCAAATAAATGGAGCTTTTTATCAAAGCTCCATAATTGTTGCCTTTTACCAAAGCACTAACGACACTTGTTTCTTTTATCAAAGTGTTTTAAACAAAGAAAATAAAAAACCCGTTTTTATTTTTATTTTATTTTAAAAGCTTATTAACGTTTAATAAAAATAATGATTCTATCACAAAGTTTTATTTTATCAGAATATTGATTATCGATTAATTTCCTCTGTGATCAAGCAAAGACCAGAAGTTATTCTTAATATTAATGAAATCACTACAACATGATAAAAATGGAAAAATTAAAGGTTTATTATTACAAAGTAACTTAATCAATATTATTTACACAGTAATTTAATTATACACTATTTAGTTGAATCTCTAATTGATGATTTATCTACCCCGATCGTGTATCACGTTATTAATATTAATATAATAATAGTTTTACAATTTTGGGGACATTTCATCAAACAACATTACTTCTAATGTAGTAGTAATTGATAATTGCCATTAACTTCACATCTCTTTCCGCATTTGAATTTTTTCAACAATGTTTGTTGAATATTTAATTTCATTTTCTGAGGAAAGAATTTCAATTCCCAAGTTTTAACATACATTTTTTTCAGTAGTTTCTTATAATGCGCCTGTGATATATGAACTTTAGTATAATATAAAATAAACAATTGTTGTTTTTTCAATGGTTTTTTTGCTCACGTACATCAAATTGTTTGATCAATTTAGAAATTTTGCTAAACAATCCATTTGATTGTTTGTTTTTAGATATTTAGGCAAATCTGATTAAAATTGGATGAATAATCTATTTGATTGTTTGTTTTGCTCGCATTGTTTGTTGTTTGGTTTAGGATTTTATAATTTTCACCATCATGTGAAATTCATTGTGGTATTTATTATTAATAATAAATATTTTAATATCAACTGATGCAAGCTTTTTTGGGATTATTGGATTAAGAATAATCCATCGGAAGCAGACTACATCTTACATACCTTCAACAAGTGAACAATTGGATCTTGCATTAACCAGGTTCTCACATATATGATTATCACCTAATACTAAGACCAGAACTTAGGAAAACATCATACACAAGAAATCCTGTCGCTGTTAGCAGCTGACCAATAATAATGGAACTTCATTGGATAAATTCTATTTACTTCAGATTTATTTATTTGTTTTCTTTCTTTCAAAAATATATTTTATGAAAAAATAGAGTTGTAGGCAAGTCAAGATGCATGACATACAAAGCTTCTAAAGCAAGTTTTCCATGGGTGACCTATATAGTCATATTATATAATGAATAAGTATTTTACCATTTCGTTATATATAACTATAATGATTTTTAATATAGACTCTTTATATAATCATACAGTCAAACCTTGTCACAATAGTTAAGTGAAAAAAAAAAAATTCACTGTGATAAAGATCTGCTGACAATTGGCAAATATTTTTAATACAATAAATAAAACAAGATGTTGTATTAGTCTTTCATTATTTAATAATGTTACCTTTTTTCAATAATTTAAAAACCTTGAATTCTTTATAATCTATTTTTAGATCATCTTGTTGAAAAAAAATCTCAAAGGCAATTGATTACATCATTTTTTGCTGAAACTTTAGGTGTAGTATTTCAACAATTTCCTCCTCTTCAGCTGGATTAAAGAGGCAATTATTTTTTCCTCTATTGCCATTTCATTATTTATTTGCAAGTTGTCAATGGTAATATATTCTTCTGCTTCTAATTAATGATGCATGATGAAACTTTTGACTTTAGTCATTGACGTAACTAAAGTATTGACTAGAGGTAGTTTCTCACCAGGACATTTCGGCGTAAGTAAAAACACTTGACATAATTAAAACCACTTGACGTAATTAAAACCACTTGACGTAATTAAAACCCACTTGACGTAAGTAAGATGCTTAAACACTTGATACAAGCGGCAATAATGATAATGATTATAAAAAGTTCCAAATTATACAAAAATGTGTCCTGGGGATGAATAAAGAATTATCATATCATTGTCTGTATATTGCAATGATGCAAGAAAAATACAGTAATTATCATGGAAAGTTTACAAATTTTATGATTTGAATTAGAAATTTTTACTTAATTATTTTTTCCATGCATTTTTTTTTTCATAATAAAAATGCCTCTTCCCTTTTACATATTAAAGCCAGAAGTTAGCTACGTGTGATAGTAATACGCAATAATTGAGCTGTCTGAATTTGAAGCAACACAAGTTGATCAATATTGGTACTTTACATAGCACATAAGACAGGTTTTAGTACATGTTTTAATTTCGTTTTCTATTTTTATCACTTTTAAATCTTCAAAGAATGCCGAAATGCTTTTATTGAATCACTATAAATCATCACTAGGGTTTGGTGATCATTTTTCAATTTATATCCAAAATGTACGAAAAAATTGATTGTTACACGTCACTCTTCACAAAGAAAAAGGAAATAATGCTGTAATGTAACCGTTACTCTCAAAAAATCTCCAGATTAACATTCATTAAAACACAAGTCGAATTTTATATTTTATATTTTTACATAATGTCACATAATAAATTATCATCATCATTATCACTAAAAAGAAGGGAATTTGTATTTAAAAATCGTAATGAAATGTATAACAATGCTAATGCTAATAATTCTGATGAAGAAAGTATAAAAGATTATTTTTTTTCATTGGTCAAGAAAAATAAAGAGCTTTCTGAAAATGAAAAAGAATATTGTAAGGAACAATTTATTTATGAGTTTGAATTAAGAAATGCAAGAGATAAAAAGGGAAAACCAAAAGAGTGTAACAAGTGTAAATTGACAAAATACTCTGATAGGTTCTGTGAAAGTTGTATTAGATTACAATTACAGAGCCTTTTCACCACTTGGACATCTGTAACAAACATGTATTTTTCATAATAATTTCTGGTGATAAATTATATTTTTTCAAAATACCAAAAATATTATTTTTAATATTTTTTTGCTGTATGACTAGTATCTGAAAATTTTGAAACTGCCAATACTTGCTCTCTTAAAGACCAACCATCTATGTAATGTACTGTCAAAGATATATAACTGATCTTTCGATAGTAATCCAGTAGTAAATGCACCACCTATTTTTTAAAATATTTCAATTAATTTAGTGCCTAAATTTGACTTGATTGATTCTGCTATTTTTACTATATTACATGATATTGTTGTAGATTTGGTAATAATTCATCAATAGATAAAGGACCATATACTGAATCAATGTTAACTAATTCTTGAGCAAATTCTTGAAAACTTTACCAGATACTATTTCAAATGGTCTCAAATCACAACAGACAAAATTTTTTAAATTTTTTTTTATTAATTCTTTAACATTTGCTGGTGTTCCATTTTTTTGCAAAAATGAAGTAATTTTTGATTGATTATCTAAATTGAAACAGCTATGTCTTTGTAAATTTGAGGTTCCTAGTTTATAATTATATTTAGTTATATAGTCACAATTCCTACAAACAACGTACCCAATCATCTTGTCATCCAAGTCAACTAGTTCAGAAAACTTACCCCAAACATCACTTCTTCCTCCTTGCTTCTCTTTTAAAAATAGTTCTCCTGCTCTCAATTTAGATCTTATTTGATCAATAGTCAATGTATCTGACATGGTATATTATTATTATATTAAAATTAATGGGATATTACTAAATTATTATTAAATATATATATATATAATATTATTATTATTTAATAAAGAGTATTATTGTTGTTGTTGCTATATTTCATTAAAAAAAAATGTGTATATATTTATTTTTGCTAGAAATCTATTTCAAAATTCACGCGCGTGAATAATAAAAAATTTGGATACAAAATTCTGATTGGTTAATTTTAATTTCATTTCTAATTTAATATTTTCAGGTTGCACGAAATCCGAGTTATTCATCTCATATTCAAACCCGATAAAAATATACTACAGCCATCCAAACCCGTACCGCAATCCGGATATGGTCCGAGTAAAATTGCAGGACCCAGCCCGTTGCAGGCCTCTAATTCCAAGATCCTTTCTTTTATAATTTTCTTGTGTCTCCTTTGTTTCATCAGTTGGTTCCCAAGGAGCCAAGTTTTGCTTTTGCCGAATACCATTCAGTTCCCATACACTCATTTACTACTAAACTCGAACATTTCTTATATTAATCTTAATAACGTGATACATGATTGAGGTAGATAAAATAGTACTTTATGTTCCAAGGTCAACTAATTTTAGTGCGTAATTATTATTATCAAATGAAAATTTTACGCAAAAACTTTTTATAATATCAATATTGATTGATTGAGTTACTTTGCAATAATAAAACTTTAATTTTCCATTTTTATCTTTATACTTTCTTATTGCAGAGAAAAATAATAGATAATTAACATCCTGATAAAATAAAACTGTGATAGAATCATTATTTTTATTAAGCTTTTAAAAATAAAATGATTAGTAACGTGATTTGCTTTAATGAGCAAGCAAAGGTTAAGACTAACGTTAGTTAACTAGTGGGTGTTAATAAAGTATTATCCAAAGGTTAATCGGAAGTATTATTGTAATCGTAAACGTAAGGCTGTTAGACAAGCTACTTAAGTTGTTTTGCAAGTAAACTAAAGCGAATTTGCAATCGGTAAATGAATGTAAACGAATAAATCAATCACAAATGAATAAAAAGAGCCCTTGAGCTTTGTAAATGTCACCTTTATTTATTTACAGTTATCTGGTACCAATGAATGTGCACTCACAGATTCATCCAGGTGCAAGAGAGAAGAAACCAAAGTAAATCATAAATTAATTAATTGACAAGCACCGAATTATTGCGAGTTGCTTGCAATAAACTGACAAGAGTAGCAAAAGTTAAGCCATAATTGTTAATCAACTGAAATGATACTGCTACTTGACAAAAATCAAAAAGTTTATTATTTCAAAGCATTATTATAATTTTAAGAAAATAAGAATAAAATAAAAAGATAAATAAAAAGATAATGAATAAATTTATAGTGGAGATTAAATTAGTCATTCATTGGTTCTTTTCTTTTACTATTGTTATTAGAATTTAATGTTTATTAATTTATTAGTGGATAGTAATTCCCAATTAATTAATAATGAAATTTTTATTCACCTTTGTTAAAACTCTAGAGAAAAGAGTTAAAATCAAGACTACTTAACGAACTATCATTACTTGTATAAATTTTCAAGCTTTTTGATTTAGCAATCTCTTCATCTAATATTCTACTTTTATGATACGCATCTGGATGTGATTCGTGTACTTGTTGCGAATCACTACCACCACCACTGCTGTTGCTACCATCATTATTAAAAAATTTGAATAATCTATTTATTAAACTATTATTCTTACTATTATTTTTCAAAATTTTATTTTCACGAATTTTCTTATGTTTATCATAAGCAAATTTGAAAAGTTCTCTACTAGTTGGTCTTTTTGATGGATCCACATCCCAACACCTCTGCATCATTTGCACACAATCATCAGGCATTCCAGGTAATATTGGTGGTCGTAAACCTTCACATATATCAAAAATCAAACAATGATTGTGAGCT